GGGGGGGCTTCATCAAGTTTTTCACGATGTATAGCAGGGGTGTACAACCTTTTTAGTTTTTTGGGCCGGCTACGGAAAAACGGAAGGGTGAAAGGGCCACATGAAAATTCTTCCACTTTTTGAAACGCACTAAAGTCAGTCAAGAAAGCCATTTGAGATTGTTTCGTTCGTCTCGTCTGCTTTCTGTTCAAGCTGCTGTGAAGGCAAATCGTCTTTCACAGAATAGGTCCAGCTCTGCACTTGACAGCAGTCGAATGTCCACATTTGGAACCAAACAAAAGAACAAACGGCAGTCAAGTGACGATTTTTGACTCCAACATTCACTTATCTTGACGGCAGTCAAGTGACGATTTTTGACTCCAACATTCTTTAGTCACTATACTATAGCGTTTTGAATTTAACAAATTAAATTCATAATGGTTCGTTTGTGTCTTCGAATAAAGAGAAATGTTCAACAGTACACCCTCCCTTCTCACTCTGCTCCACTTTCACCTTTTTTTTTTAAACTAACTTTTTTTTTTTTTACGATTATAATTTTTTTGGTCATGTTGCGGTCTGCTGAAAAATGGATGGCGGGCCGCAAATAGCCTTCGGTCCATAGCTTGGACACCCTGATGTATGGCTTGTAAAACAACTTGAAAAAAAGAGAAGAATAAATCGTTTGAGTTTTCCTTCAACAGTGGTGCCTTGAGAGTTTTTATTTGTATCGTGAGCGCACTCATGACTCAAAACCGTCAAATTTGAAATCATCTCTTTTCTTTGAAGACATAAGATTGCGGGGCTTTTGACGTCCTTGGTCGGGACGGGGCAAAATTGACACAAAAACAGGCCGAATGTCAGCCTGACATGCAAAAGGATGAGATGCTGCGGCGACCTCTAATGGCGAAAGACTAGAAGGACAAGACAAGACAGCTGGGGAAACATTCATAGCAGTGCATGGAGGGTCGTAAATGTTTAAAACAAATCTAAATGTGGCTGGGTGATGGAATACAATTGAAAAAAAAAACGGTGTTGACGAATTTGGCAAAAATTAATCGAGGTCAACTCACCATGAAAAGGCGGGACGGGTGGGCTCCCCAAAGATTTTGCCAGAGGAACAAAGTTTACCAGTTTACCAAGAGATCAAAAACATGGCGAGCAATTGACTCATGAGACAGTTTTGGTGGGGAAAATGTTCACAGAAAGCATAAAAAAACTCGATGGCAGAAATGTGTGGCATTCCTTTGAACGGAAGAGTATTGGGGTCAAAAAAGAATGTAAAAAAACAAAGTTGGCAAAAATTCTAAATATATGTCAGAACTCACCTAAATGTCAGAATAACAAAGGTCAAAGTTCTGACTTGTAGGTGACAATTCATGGAATAAAGTCCGAAATCTGAAAGAAAATGAGGATCTTGCCAACCTTGTTTAGTTTTTTTTTTTTCGTTGGCCCGAATCCTCTTTCGTATTTTCCCGTCTCGTTTTCTTTTTCACATCCAAGACATCGCCAGGCCTTCCGTTCTGTCTCCCCCTGCTGGTCATCGTTTAGTTTACGTTCCTTGGGACGGATTGAAAGGTGAATTCCTTGTGTGTTTGACAAACTTAACCAATAAATATAATTCAGATTTTACATTTAGGTGTAACATTTAAAATTGGGACTTCATTTCTAAAGTTAGTCGTTGTAAATGTGTAATTTTTTTTAAATTAAAGACATTCCAACCCCAACAGTTTACCATGAAACCCTTTAAGCTAAATGTGACAAAATGTGGTCCTTTTCATTTTTTGGGCCAGAGGACGCATTGGCTCCTTGAGGCAGAGGACGTGAAATTTCTGTGCACGTGCACATTGATATTATTGCCAATAATTAACGATGTAATGTCATCATATTCATTCATTCTTTTTTTGGTGGGGGTGGGTGGGGGTGATGTGCTCCCTCTTCAATTCATTTATGTGCAGACACTGATCATGTTCATGATTCCTCACTATCAGGAAACAGCAATGAAATTTCACCTCTGGCTCCAATTTGGCTGCAACTAACAATCATTTGAAAAATCCACTAGCCTGTCAATTCTGTTTTGCTTAATCAGTGAATCGGATCAAAGAAAACAAATGGTTGGGAGAAAACAGGACATTATTTTAAACCGATATTGCCGAATATATCCTTTGCTGGTTTGGTCCGTAACGTCCTCCAGGAAATCATCCGCAGATGTCGAGTATACGTTCAAGTGTTGGATGCTGTCAGAGTTATTGCTATTACTAAGTTAGCAGGCTACCCTCATGGCCCAAATGCGAAGTGCAGAGTTCCTTGGATCGAAAGCTTCAAAGTCTTGAGGCAAGACTTTATCGGGCCCTCACCGCTCTGGGTCTGCTGGCGGCGAGCTCGCAGCGAGAGAGCCGTTAGCTAGCGGCTAGCTGGTGGCGAGCGGGCCGCTAGATCTCCGTTAGCCGGCGGCTCGGTGCTGCTGTGCGTTCCAGCTAGCTACTGCTAGCGCAAAGCTTCGGGTCAACTCCAAAGATTGCTGAACGCTAAAAAAAAAAAAAAAGTTGAGATTGTTGAGAGAGCCCAGTGGTGGGCTGCTGTTACTCGCAGTGGCTTCCAGAGAGGCAGAAAGGAACAAACAAACAATTCAGTTCAATTCAACTGTATTTCTAGAGCACTTTCAAACAGCCATCGCTGCATACAAAGTGCTGTACATGGACCAATTTAACATATAAAACAAACATTTAAGCAAATCGGTAATAAAGACGGTAGAAAGCACCGAACAGCAAAACCAAGAACAATCTAAGTCATGCTGAGTCAAATGCCAAAGAATATAAGTGAGTTTTGAGGCAGGTTTTAAAGATGGGCAGCGAGGAGGCTTGCCGAATGTTCAGTGGGAGGTCATTCCAGAGAGAGGGACCAGCAATGGAAAAGGCTCGATCCCCTCTGAGCCTCAATTTAGTTCTTGGTACTTCTAATAATGTCTGGTCCGCAGACCTGAGGCGCCGGGCAGGTGTGTAGGGGCGGATGAGCTCAGAGAGGTAAGGTGGCGCGAGGTCATTTTGAGATTTGAAAACAAATAAGAGGATCTTGAAAATAACTCTAAAATGTAGAGGGAGCCAGTGAAGGGATGCCAGAGTAGGAGTGATGCGCTTCCTCTTACGACATTCTGGTCCAGCTGAAGACCCTTAACGGAGGATTGGCTGACTCCAAAGTCAAGTGCGTTGCAGTCATCGAGCCGGGATGTGACAAAGGCATGAATGACTGTCTCAAACAAATAAAACAAATAAAATAAAAAAAAAAACAAATAAAAGAACCCCCACAAAAACAAATGCTTCAAACAGCCCCTGAGCAAAACCGAGGCTCCTCCAAGGCGGCCCAAATTAAGAAGTGACCGACACATATTTCGGACCCTCCGGGAATCTCTGAGTGGGAAAATTCAGGACAAGTTGCAAAACATCATCACGGAGTGAAAGCAAATTTCTCTCATGGTGGACACTCGACGACTTCCCGAACACCAAGGTGGTTTGGCTGCCAATTTGAGAATGTTTTTTTTTCTCCCCGCAATTAAAGTTTCAACTATTTCATTAAAACAGTCTTAATCACAGCAATTAAGCAATTAGAATTCCTTCCTCATCTTCCCTCTATGATCGCCTGTCACGCCACCCATCAACAGATAAATACGTGAGCATCTCCGAGTCGAGCATCAGTTCTCCGCCTCCGCAGAGAGACTCTTCACTCTTGCAGCCTTCATCCACTCGGTAAGTCGATCTTGGCCGGCCATCGATTTGCTCACTGCTCTGCATTTGATCGGCTTTATGCTCCAAAGCGAAAATGTTTGAAGTGTGCATGTGGCGCCGAATGCATTTTGCCATCTGCGTCCGAGCTCGGAGGGTCCACTTGGAGCGCTCAGAACGACAACCGTGAACAAGCCCGATCGTGACAAATGCGCAATGCTTGAGTTCATCCTTTCATTTGGACGTTTGACTTGATGCAAACCTTTTGTGAATGTTCCAACAAGTCATCCGTCATTCGGTGCATTTTCTTCAAAACCTTCCATTTACACCAGGGGTGTCAAACGCTGTCCTGCATGTTTTCCAAGTCTCCCTGTTGCAACACACCTGAATCAAATGAACAGGTTCAATATCAGTCTTCCGCAGACCTTGCTGATGATCTGATCATTTGAATCAGGTGTGTTGCAACAGGTTTTTTCCTGTACTTTGTTTTGAAATTGCGAGTCCAAGCAAGTCGAGCACATCGAGTTAGCTGGAGACTAAAGCTGCCTTGCCCAAAAGACGTTTACATCAAAGAAATGTCCAAATGTGCAGTCAACCTTCTGATTCATTTCCTGGAGCTGTTGAAAAGAATTTTGTCATCCAAGTCATAAAAGTGATTTTTTTTTGGTACTTTTGTTTCTTTCCAATCATTCAGATTCTTTGGTAAATTGTCTCCAACGACTGCACAAGAGGTAAGGGCGTTTTTTTGTTTTTTTTTTGCTATCTGACCTGAAATAGTTTGCGCGTCCATCGCCGGCTCACGTCTGAAGAAAAACGAGTTTGGCACTCGGTTGGCAGCCGTCGACCTGATTGCGCCTCGCCTTTCTCTCAAAGTGCTCGTATCGTTTTGTGTGACATCCAATTCTGAGAAGGTCATCCAAGTTTGGCCGATTGGTGTGACCGCTTTGATTGATAGTTTTCTTATTATCCCCCCCTCCTCCCTCCCACCAGCAACAAGATGCAGAAGCTACTTCTCCTCGTAGGTAAGGCGCGCCGCCGAGGGCAAGTGTTGCGAAATGTTGTTTTATTTTGAAAGTTTGGAGAGTTGTGACGAAGGTGGCAATTCATTCGCAGGTCTGTGCGTGCTCGTGGCGCACTTGGGTAAGTTTCCCTCTTGCGCCGATTTGTGCCTGGCAGCCAACTTGCCGTCGTCCTGACGAAGCGCTGTCCGGTTTCACCTTTCAGAGGCCACATGCTCCCGAAATCTGGTGTGCACCTTCCAGAACAATTCCAACTTTAACATGGCAGACGACATGGAGCCGCTACTGTGCACCCACATCATCTTCAAATCTTTCCAGCCAAATGCAATGGTGATTCCCCAAACCGGGGGGCCAATTCAGGATCATCACGACTTCAATTTGGCATTTCCGAGGTCAGATTTGGGGCACTTTTTGCGATGTTGTTGAATCCGTCGAACAATAACAAGGAAACGTCTTTGTTCCAATTGCAGCGCAACCGCGAAAACCCTTTTGGAAGTCGATCTGACCGGGATTACTATGTGAGTCACAAAACACACCGAGCAGATTGCGGCCCACTTCGCTTCATGCTGTAACAAAGCATGCAAAACCCCACAGAAACGCTCATCGTTAAAAGTTGTTAGGCAAAGCTTTCCAAGCATTTGTTGATCCATCCTCGGTACAAAGAGACTCATGTTACGGCAACTTCGTGAGCAGCGATAGAACAAGTCTATTGTTATATTGTTATACTGCCCCCTGGTGACCAAGGCGGGCACACCAGAAGGGGCAGCACAGGGACGGACCACCGCATCGAATCACGATGTACAAACTGTTCAACGCTTGACAAGGCATTGATTAATTTTGCTGCACAACGTCGATTCTTTTTGAGCACGTGTCGTACGCAAGGCAACTCAACGTGCTTCGCAGAAGCGAAATTAGGACACCTCAAAGTAACAACGGAAGACACAAAGCAAAGACTCAAACGGCCGATTTGAACGACCAAAAGAATGGACCACCGATAGAGCACTTTGACAGCCAAAACATTTCCAGACATAAAAAGTACTTTTCTGAAATTGCTTAAAGACAGTCAAGTGAAAATATTTACAAAGTGGCAAAAAGTCCTGAATCGAGGGTAGTGGAGGGGGTGGACAAAAAAAACAAACAGACCGGACTCGTATCTTAAGGCAGCACAGCACTTGGAAATTGGAAGAACATAAGTGTTTTTTTTTTTTTTTTTTTTTTTGCTTTTGCTCTCATCTACCAGATTCACAGCTTCAAACAGGGACACTTTTATCACATCCGTAATCGACGTCGTGGATGCTGCTGGCTTCGATGGCGTCAACATTTTGTGGTCGCAAAGCGAAGACACGAACCAAAACAAGATAAGATTCACAGCTCTCATGCAGGTCTGATCTTGGACATTGTCTCCCTCTAAATGGGGAGCGAATTTGCCGACTGTTTGCCAAAGGCTTGATGGTGGCGTTTTTGCTGAGCAGGAGCTGAAAGACGAGCTGGGCGGGCGACTGCTCACCGCGAGCGTATCCGGTGTGCCTTCTGAGATCACTGCCAGTTACCAGGTCTCACAGCTTCTCGGGTAAGCACAAATCTCATTCGGCAGCTTTGCCGCGTTGACGCTATGATGGACGATAACTGCTGTGCGTGTGCGTTTGTTTGCTCAGGGTCGTCAACTTCTTCAACGTGATGACCGGTGATCTTGACCGAACTTCTACTTCCGGCCAATTCCCCTTAGCGGTAAGCGAGACCCACTGTGGAAGTATCGGCTCCAATGGGATTTGTCAACCCACAGAGCGTCCAAATGTTTCCCTGCAAAGTTTGGCGGCGAGAAATATGGGGCGGATGCGAGGGGCGCTG